AAACAAAAACTGAGCTTGGCTGTCTTCCTGGACAATATTTTCAAAACAGACCAAACCTAACCAAAACAATCAGCGTTCCCCGTATGGGCCACCAGTTAAAAATGTGTTTGTAAGTTTGGCTGTCTCTTCCCCCATCCCGCTCTCTCAAGCGACGAAAAAAAAAACAAACCACAGAAAAACTGAAAGAAGTCCGAATGAAATGGAATTATATCAAAAGTATATATTTGCATATATATTTACAATTATATATACAATTTGAATATTGTACACACGATAGGGAGCTCGGGGGGGGGAGGAAGGAAAAGGGAGGGGGAAACAGGGATTAAAAAAACCCAAATATCATCCAAATATCCCGTTAATAGAGAGCTAGCGAATAAATACAAAAAACCTAATTAAATACTTCCCTGAACGAGACAGCAGAACCGTGTGAAGCACCAACCAACTCCCCAGGCCTCCCAGAGGGAACTGGAGATAACGGCAGGTCTGAGCAGGCAGGCCCTGGCCTGTACAAGCAAAGACCATCTGCAGAGAGACCTGTCGCCTTCAGCCTCCGGAAGAGAGAAGAGAGCGAGCTCTCTTATCTCCGCCTTATTTATACGTTGTGTTACGCTAAAGGATGATATGGAATACTTCTTTAGATTTCTGACCCCAGTTGCTAAGGAAGGCCTAAAAAATCCAAAAGCCAACCCACTACACCAAGTTTTACACCAACAAATAATAGGAGTACTTAACATGCTGAGTGAGAGTTGATTTTGTCAAAAGACAGCTCAAACATGTTTTACTTGTCTGGGGACATTGCTATTAATTGTTGGTTCTGAGCATAATATCTTGCTCTTTTGTGGTGCTATGCAGCTGAGTGAACTGCAGTGATTAATGAACCTGGGCAGTGTTGGTCTGCAAAAGTCACCAGTACAGATGTGCCAGTACAGGACAGTGGTTTTATTGGCATTCTCTCTAGAACTAATGTGCCCTTAAAAATATGAGGAATGTGATTTTTTCCTTGTGCACCAGTTTTAAATATGAATGATGTGGGTACAATGATTTATTAAATGGAGTTTGTGATATGTGTGGGAACAGGGAACTGAAGTTTCTATGTATTGCCAGGTATCAGGGTCCTGTTTTACAATAAACACTTAAGCTCTTTGAGAAACTGTTTGTCAGCTGCACCTCATGCAGATTTTTCTTCTACTTGCAAACCAACAGCAGTCTAACACTGCAAGTCACCAGAATGCAAACATCATTTTTGACATTCCAAAAAGTCTCAACACATAATCTCCTGGGTTTCTAGGTGCTTATTTCCTTGTCCCAGTCTTCTGTGATTAATTGGTCAGTAAATACATTCTATGCTTTTTTTGTGTGTGTCAGTCTTCTTTAGGCTTCCCATTTTCCTTACTGCACAGGAACTCTGCTGTTAGTTTTCCAAATAACATGGAACCAGCCTGTCTGCTCTCAGAATGGTCAGCGCGATTGTTGCCTGTCAGCTGAGTGATGCTTAAAGTTTTCGATTGGAAAATCAGGCAAAAAATATTTTGGAGATCACAGAGGTAGATGGGCCAGGGCGAGCACACTCTCAATACATGCAAAAAAAGAAAAATAGTAGAATAGAGTTTGATAGAACTGTGGAAATTTTTTTTCTGGTATTCTGTAATGCCCTGTGATTTTTGTATTCCTGAAATGTTCATTGGCAATGAGGTATCATCCTGCCTATTTACAGCACAGCGTATTGTTTACTGATACAGTACTCTCTCTGTACCCAGGGATGTTTGTTACCATGAATTTTTTAGTAATTTCTTGCATAGATGTAATTTCAGTATGTTCATTTAAAATCATTAGTAATTTCATAAACGTTTTGTGTTCACATTGAGGTTGTAATAAATTCTAATTTTGTACTGTACAATTATTTTATAGTAATTATTAATGTCAGCTTTTATTTTTACCGTCCTAATTTCTGTCTGCTGCCTGTTCTATTACAAGATTTTCTTCCCCTTCCTCTGTAGTTGGATGCACTCTCCTATGACTGTATCTGATTTTTTTTTTTAATCTTGTTAAATCACGTCTTGTGTTTATACAGTTGATAATAATAACTGTTTGCAAAGCCAGACCTGCTCTTGATTTCACAGTGTCACATTGATGATAATTTGGCAGTGAGGAACTGATAAGTACTAAGTAATACACTGAGTAAAATTCCCATTTTTCAATCCTACTTTCTTAGTATATTAGTTCATTAGAGACCTGTCTAGGTCTCTAGAGTATCACTGAGGAACTATTGCCTCAGTAGTTGGCATTCTGTCTTTAAAAATAGGTGACTTTTTTGGACTGTATGCTGACAATAATACTTTCACTGCATTTTTCTTGGCTTTGTCCTTAAAAGTATTTTTGATCTTTGAATGAAATGGGATTTTCAGGCTTCAGTTTTCTGTATTCTTTACATCTTGGTGACTCTGTTCTGTAATTTTTTTTTGCTAAAGCTGCTTATTCATAACAATCAAAAATACTTGATGGACCAGCTGCTTTCTTTTTCTCTTACACATAATTATCTTCATCTATCCTGTACATTTTTCAAAACTAGAAAGTACACCCATCTCTGCAGGACAGGTTGAAATTTGCCCTGCTGAGTGGTTTAGGAAGGCTGGAGTCTCTCAGACAGAATAGAAAAATGATGACTAAAAAATGACCAAACTAGCAGAACTGACAGTGCTGTAAGGTGCGTTGTAAGCTTTTAAGGATTTGAGTATGCCTTGTTTTCCTGATAACCTGTTTCAGAGGACTTATGAGGCATTCCTTTGCCTTACAGTCTGCTTCATTTCTGTGTTGTGCATTAATATAATCTCTGGGTCTTTCTAGAAATAAGTAAAGCAGAATCTGAGGAAGACTTTGGAACAAAATTCAAGAAGGATGTTTTGTAAGTATGGGCTGGTTTCCATGGAGAAGAGTCAGTATTCAAACTGAAGTCTGATGCTACTGTTTATTACAGTAGCATCTAGTAGATACTAGAACGTTGCTTTATTATGGAACATATAATGGATTTTCTGTTGCTTTTTCTTTTGCCTTTGTTCCTTTTGTTTCACGGACTCGGTAATATATATGACCGATGTTGAAATATATACGATAGAGTAGTTTTATTTTGAAGGGGGTGAGTGCCTTCCTTCATTGCTTTTGTTGCCAGATGTATGTCAGTGTTGTGATACCACTGCACAAAGTTGAATTCACATTGGTAGGTTTTGGCAAGACATTTCTCAGACAACCAGCAGTGGCAACAGTGAAGAAAACCAAACTCTTTATATGTCTGTGAAGGGTAAATTTAGTATCCTCATTCAGAAATTGGTTGTAGCTCCAGGTTCTAATGTTGCCTCTGGCCTGGGCTTGTAGTTTTCAGAATAGTTTAGATATGCATGCTGATTTTACAGAACTTTTGAAAATTGCCACTTGAATCAGTCACTTCAGGCTGCTTGTTGAAAGGATTATCTGGAAGATATTTTCTTTTTCATGGATTTTTGGATTGCCATTTCCCCTGCACAGTCAGGTCAGGGGTTTTGTTTGATTTGGGTTTATTTGGTTGAATTTTTTGTTTTGTTTTGGGTTTGTTAGTTTGGAGTCTTGTTTCTTTTCTTTCCCTCCTTAGATTTTCAAATTTTGTCCTGGTTGTACTCCTTCGTCTTCATAGTTGTCTTCCTTTTGTCTCAGTCTCTGTGATTAGAGATGGTAGGAATTCCAATAAGGCATAGCTCTGAGGCACCCTTTTTTGCTGTTGCTTGCTGTTGTGCTGTGACAGCCTTTGCCATAAAAGCCCCTCAGCTGTGGTTGGGAGAGTGGTGAGCCTGCGTTCCTATCTGGGATTAGTCAGTGTGAAGAAGGAAGTCTCGGCTTCCCTTTTCCCCTGCTCAGGGAGTGGTGGGTAAGAAGGATTTGAGAGAATGAGGGAGAAGAAAGATGACAAGAGGCAATGTTTCTTTTTACATGTGTGCTGTTATCTCAGAGGATACTACCTCTGAATTACTGAAAACAGAGGTCCATTCTGAGATAGAGTTTGTTTAAACTGTAATGTTCATGTAGAGAAGTGCTGACCCTTCAGGGCAACAAGAGGTAAAAGAATATTCCAATTCATTTGTCTTACTTATTGTGGTCTTTTCTTCCTAATATGTACACCTGCTGCTCCAATACTCTTTTTTTTCCTATTTTGAAATCATGTGGGTATAAGCTTACTTTTATTTTTTTGTTACTCCTTACTGTGTAATCTTGTAAGGGTTGTGCATGGAGTGTGTTGGGGGTCACTAGATGTGCATGCTTCAGGGGGAAAGAGAAGACCAGATCTCACAGAACTTTGAAATTACAGTGGAATTTATTATGGGCAACGACCTTTAAAAATGCTTAGGAAAAGTACAGGTAGTTGCCTTCCTTTTGGTACACCTTGCTCCCATTTTCTTAGCCCAGGGTCAGTATTTGGGTATTATGCCATTTTCCCAGCAGGTTGAGTCCTTGATTTCCGTTGATTTCAGTAGTTATTGTGTGCATTGTGAATCAGATACACAAGGCAAAGGCCCAGTCTGCAATTACTGCTGCTCCTTGGCAGGAGTTGATTCAATCTGTTCCTCTTGGCTAGAGCTCTTATCCTGGCTTTGTTGTCTTATTTACATTGTGATGGCAGAGTTATTTCCACTCCAAAGTGCTGTAGTGATATTGTCTAAATGATTCAGGACAAGATATAGCTAGGGATCTGTGGAGAGCTGAACCTAATTTAAATTCTGCAAGAACTATCTGTTATTTTCAGTCATCATCATTATTATTATTATTATTATTATTATTATTATTATTATTAATAATAATAATAATAATAATAACAATAATAGAAGATGTAGACTTTTTGGAATGAGGGTTGAAACTTGTGTTCTTTTCTTGAGAAATACTGTTTGGTCTTCTGAGCCATCATGTGAATGCCCTACTCCTGGTCCTCATATGTAAATATTTTCCATCATATTTGATACAGTTCATGTGCAGTTTATGCTTTAAAGTCTGAGTGCAGAGCCATGGATTTGGCAAAGAACTAGGGAAAAGTGCGTGTTTAGGGACGATCTGTTTCAGGAAATCTTAAACCACACAATTTCAAATATTCATGCTGTAGAATGTAAGTTTTTATTGTTTGCTCTCTTATTTTTTTGTACTTAAGATAAATTTGTCTCTTAAAACAGTTTTTTGGGGGATAAGCACGTTCCTTGAACAAAGTACATCCCACTGAATTTCCAGTGGGAATTCAAATTATTGTTTGTTGGCTGTCTGTCCATGTGCGTGGTCGTATCCCACAGTGGAGGTGAAGTAAACTGTTCCTCATTCAGTGATTCGTGATTGCCACTCGCACTAGTGCACCCAAAAAGTAAAAGTAAGGCTTTATATAATGACATTTACTATAGGGCATTTTACACACAGGAACTTGTTACTTTACAGCAGTTTTGGTGTCCAAGTCCTAATGTTGCCCCTGCCTTGGGTTAATCATTTTCAGAATGTTGATTTTAGAGCGCTTCAAAAATTTGCCACTTGAATCAGGCACGTGTGCCTACCGGTTGAGAGGATTATCTGAATAGTGAATGTGAAGGGTAAGCGACAAGCCCTGCTGGCAGTGGCACTTGTGTTTGCAGTAGGCTGTGGTATGTTGGCATAAGGGTGCTTGAACGAGTCAGTGGAGGCAATGAAAAAATGCTGTGGAGGCGGAGTTGTTTAGAGGAGAGCTTAGCAGCATGAGAAATTCGGTCTCAATATTCTGATAAAAACAGAGACCTACGTACCACTGTAGAAAGTCTGGTGAGGAACTCTATTAAATGTGTAAGTTCAGTCTAAAAAGTGCTCATGTCAGGTAATGTATGGGGAAGAACAGGGAGTTACAGGGGAAAACAACTACTATGTAAGATGAGTGGCTTTATCCAGACTATGTTGAATGGCAGAAGTCATTCAAGAAAGTATTAAATAATTGGAGTAGTTTCAGAGATGAGTATAAAATGAGAAATACAAGGTATGGGCATGTAAAGAGGCTGAAAAGGTGGGATGAGTTTGAGGGGTAAAAATTAAGAAGAGAATGACATATGTAAATATATGTGCATGTACATATATGATGAATCTGGACCATCTGCTGTCACTGTCTTAGAAGAAGAGGGAAATATTGAGTGAGATTCTTACCAAGTTTTCTTTTAAAACTGTGTTGAAGTCAGTTACTGGACATTTAAATGTATGCATTTAAAGCAAAATGGAAATGAATTCTCTATTCTTCTCTAACAGTTGCTTCAAGTTAGGTTTAAAAATATATTTCTGTTTCAAACACATGTTGCTTGAAGCCCTCAACTTCAACCACTCCAAAAGAAAATGAAGGTCTCTTCACTTTGTTTTGTTTAAATGTTTTTTTTTTCTTCCCTGTTACAGAGCTCCCTGAAGATGTGTGGCTCATACTGCTTCAAACTGTCTGGACATTTGTTGTTTAACTGCTGAAGCTTTCCTACCACTTGTTTCTTTCTTGAAGCCTTAATCTATCGAGGGATCAGAATTGGCTGCTATGGTAAGGCATTTTTTCAAGTTGTAATAAAATGCTAAATGTGGGTGCAATATGCCAGTTTATTTTGGTTTTATTTCTTTATTCAGTAGCAAGACACCAAAAGAAACAAAAACTCTTAATGGTGTACAAAATCAGAAGAGGAGACTTTGAATTAACTAACCAGCCAAGAAATTTTATGCTGCGTGTTGTCTCTTTATACTTGCCCTGTGCTTCTAAGTGAAGAATAAGAATCATGTGAATCATTTTACAAGATCTTTTTCTTGTCTGTAGATGTATGTGTATAACTCATAAATGTTTTACAAGTCTCTTCTAGATACTGCATTTTTTATGAAATGTATTTCGGTTTCATGGCAGTTTAAATTACAGTATTTAAAATACTTAAGGTGATTTGTAGAAGCATAGAAGTTTTGATTTTTGGAGACTAAAAATTGGTAAAATGGGAACAGGAAACCCTGTGAATAACAGGTGAGACAGAAAGATGACTGAACCTCTAAGCAGATAAAAATCAATAATTGTTTGCTAGATGATGATATAGTACTGTATTTAGGAACTGATACTTGTCCTTGAATCTCAACAACTGTAGCAGTTCTGAATAACCAGGTGATACTTTACAAATTTCAGGAATCAAGACCAACTAAAACATGAGAAGATGTATTCAAGATGATCCAACCAGAAGATTTTTCACTTCATAGAAATCTTATTTTTGTTTAATATGTAATATAATTTCACAAAGCCAAATTCAGTTGCTTTTCTTGAAATTAAGACACGCCTGTGGCCTTCATCAGAAATGTTTCTAACATTTTCAAGAAAAAATATGTCCCAGAAACTGAGTATGTTTTTACTAGTTTTTGGAATCATCTGGGGTTTGATGTTGCTACGCTACACTTTTCAGTATCCAAGACGCCAAAGCAGTGCTGAGTTGCGTGGACAGATATTAGATCTCAGTAGAAGATATGTCAAAGCACTGGCAGAAGAAAATAAAAACTTAATGAATGGTGGCGGTGGAGCATCTATGGCAGGATATGGTAAGAGGAAAAAGCTATACTAGTAATCTGAATATCTTCTTTTTTAAATGAAAGCTGTAAAGTTACATTTTTTCTCTTTCAAAGTATTACATACTGCTCTTAAAGAGAAAAAAACTCCTTGTTTTTCAATCAGCAAAGGTGTAAATATATAGATTTTTTCCCCCCTACTTTATAGCTTATATAATAAGCGATAAGATACTATGTCATAGCAGTTTTTCTATGGACTAGATTTGTTATTTAGGGGAAAACTATTAATTACCTTTTTATGTTGGAAAGTATTTAAATATATTCTGTTGCTGTCCAAGGCTAAAAGGTGTTATAGCTGTGTATTCTAGTAGTGTTGTCTGGATGAAATTTGAAATACTGCCTTTGAATAGTCATTTCTAGTGCTCCAACTAGTGATTTTGTTCTTACACTCAAATATTTAATTGACTGCCTTCACAGTTCCCTATTGTGGTGGTATCTTCCATCCATAAAATAACAAAGAAATGGTATCAAAGAAAAATCAAGCAGCTATACTTGTATATCAGTCTGCATTACTTTCCAAAGTGTATAGTAGGGAGGATAGCAAGTCTTAAGATGTGAATATGTTGAAATAGCCATTCTTTTCCACACACAGTAAATAATAGTCTCTAATTTGTTTTTTCCATTATCTTCAGCTGATCTTAAGAGAACAATTGCTGTTCTTCTGGATGACATCTTACAACGCCTGGTGAAACTGGAAAACAAGGTTGATTACATTGTTGTGAATGGCTCAGCAACAAATACCACTAATGGAACTAGCCATCAGGCACCAGTAACTTCAAACAAACGTGTAAAACCAGCCAGCAACATTAGATAGCAAACAGGGCTGCTTTGTGTTGCTACATCTGTGATGGGTAATATTTAAGATCAGCTTTTTATCTCTGGCTAAGGCAAAGCAGTAGTTGACTCTAAAAGAAGCATAAACTATTCTGTTATACTATGTGCTGGATCTGTGTAGGCCTAACATATGTGCTTAGGTTCTCAAAGCATTATTTCATTGCCTTTGAGCAGTACTTCTGAAGTGATCTTTGTTGTCTTTAAAGATATTTTGATATCATGATTTGATGTAGTATGCCATTGGATAATAAAACTTTGTGGAAAGCAGTGGGGAACTTATAGGTAGGTTTATAAATATATTTATTTAAGTATGAATATAACATATTTTTTGGATAGGTGAGAAGCATTGTAGCTTATTAATTTTTTGTGATCTACATTTAAGCCAAGGTAACTGAGGAAAATGCGTCGTTAAGCAGATGTTAGAAAATGTATATACTTAAAATATTTTGTTACTTAACTACTAAACAATATTAAATTGAGGACAACATTGGTGGTAATATTTTAAAATTGTGACCCAAAGAATGTCTTTATTTGCACTATCTGTCAGAATAGTTAAAGAGAATTTACTGTATATTTAAGAAAATTAATTATAATAGGAAAATATTCTAGGTAGTAACACTGTCCAGGTTTATCTTTGTGCCAGAGTTAAGGCAATTAGATTATCAAAAGCAAATCATAATCTGTGATATCTTAGATGATTGTTTCTTACAAAGATATTTAAGTGTATGTATTTTGTAATTGCAGATGAAATTATTTAAGTGACCGAAATAAGTTTTGGATATGCAAATACGGTTTATTTTTATTCATTGCTGTTTGTTTTAACAATTTAATACCTTGCAATTTGTGATGAGTATAGCACATGATCTCTCTGAATTGCTTTCTTGATCAGAAGGAAAATCAGTGAAGGGAAACAAGGCATCTCTGCATTTAACAGAGTTATATATACTAAGGGTGTCCAGTCATGGAGTATTTGAGAGGTAAGGTAGTATTTGCCTTATGTCTAAGTTAGTCTTACAACAAAGTGAAATGCATTCAGCATGGATGCACTGTATTTCAAAATGTTCCTGAAGTCATATTTAAGTGCCACTGAACCTGTTTTTTAAATCATAGTGAATGTTTGGTGGGGACAGAGGATATGTTCAGGGACTTTTGCCAAAAGTGTCCTGTGAGTGGGGTTTTGGGGGTGGGTAAAACCAGAGGTGCTGGATGATACACCATCCAGAGTTATGTGTTTTTTCTTTTCTTCTGTTTCCCTGCTGATATTCTTGATGGTTATAAAAGAAAATACACTTGCAACCTTCATTAGTATCCAGAGGATTTTTTTTGGTCACAATGTGTGTAAACATGTACTCACTTCAATGCAGAAAGAGAAATAAATTTTTAATTGTACTTGTAAATGTTCCTGTTCTTTTTTTTAATTATTATTATTAAACAGTCTTGTCATTTTTGCTACATGTGCTCTGTTTCTGAATTGGAAAGTTGTGTGTCTCTAAGGTTTAGTAGTAGTCTATCTGGTATTCTTCCTGCTCAGTCACTGGGTTCTTCTGCTCTTTAAATTCTAATGCCCTGAAACTTTCCTCTGGTTAGAGCTGCAAGAAGAAAGAATTGAAAATAAAATAACTAGTTTCCATCTTTAATGGTGAAGACTTTGCTCTTTAACCTAGGACTAAAGAAGATAGGTGCATAACTTCTTTTGAATCTGCAATTCTCTATTGACAATGTGAAGATACGTTTTTATATGTCTGTCTGTCTATCTATCTATCCATCTATGATTTTATTTTCCAGATACTTGACTACTACCAACCAGAACCTTGTTCTTGTGTTTGTATACAAAACTGTCTTTTTTTTTCTTTTAAGGGTATGTGAAACAAAGTTATTGAGGATTGTTAAACAAGCAAGATGAGTATTTATCAATATGTGCACAAGCAGGTTATTTTATGCAGGGATTTTGGAGACTGATACATGCAGTCATGGTAATTTGTGGTGCCATTAACAAATCATTGCTTTTTTTTCAGGTTTCATTAGCACAATGGCTCATTGGAATTAGCTTGTACTTGACAAATACATAGAGAAAACTATGAACTACCTCTGTTTTATAGCACAAAAGTTCCATTCATTAATATAGTTGAAAGAACTGTTTGTCAAGGTGCAAGTTAAAAATCGTCTAGTAGCATCCTATATCTCATTTTGCCTGAAACCAGCATTATTAGGTGTTGATACAGCATTACATCATTGTCCATGATGTATCTTATCCCTCTTTTTGTCGCTAGTCTTGTTCTGTGCTGTATCGCCGTGCCATGCCTCTGACTTGTGTTCTCCCTTCCCCAGCTACCTAGCATGCTTCCATCACTGCTGTGCTCCAGCAGTGCAGAGGATGGAAGCTGAGCTTTATCCTTTTTACTAAGATGACAACACTTTTCAGAATAGAAAAACTAGGGAAAGAAAGGCAAGGAAGGATAAAGGGGGGAGGTCTCGGCTGCCTTTGCTATTAACAGCAGTAGCAAGAATACATCTGCATGTTCTAGCCTGCAGCTTCCTTTATAGGACATGTGAGAGGTGTGTCAGCCCTGCAGTGGCAGGAGGTTGTGTAAAGAACCCGAGGGTTTGGGTGAAAAAGAAGCAAGAGAAAGCCTACAACTTACCCTGGGTCCAAAATGCTTGATAGTTTCACAGGATTTGGTTGTGTTGCCAAACATTTAATTTTTTTTCCTGAGAAATATTTAAGTTGTGTTTCTACTGTGCTGCAGTTTTTATGATGCAGCTGTGTATTTCCCATTTCAGACAACATCATAATCCCCCCCAAAATGACCTGCTTCAATTTTTGTAATATGGAATCTTCTTGAAGTTGCTTGGTTCTTGGGCTGGGTTGGGTTTGGTGTTTTGTTTTTTTTTTTTTTCCCTTTTCTTTGGAGGTCAGGGGCCCATATAACCTCTTATATAAAGAACTGCTGATTTGAAGGGGGGGGGTAGTGTTTTGGTTTTGGCCTTGAAATCTTTTGGTAAATTATGAGTCTTAAATTTTCCCCAGCTGTAATTTGCCTCCTGAGTGTTTATCAGCTGATTTTACTAGGTAATTGTCAGTACTTCTGTGCCTGTGAATGATTGCTTAATATAGGTAGCAAAAAATGTTCAAGATTCACTCCCAAACAAAAGTTCTAATGAAGAAAAATGGAAAGAAAAGAGTATATATTGATTGCTGTCTAAACAGACAGTTCTTTTTGTTGCTTTCTTCATCTAAATAAATAATTTTGGAATTTCACCTTATTAACCTTAACATAATTAAGATGTCCAAGCATTGTCTGACAATTCTGTGTGAAGAAGAAAAAGTGCTGAGTGGCCCCACATTAAAGAACCTTTGGGATGAATGGATGGACAGATGAACAGATGCTCCTCTGAAACACACTGAGATGGCTCTTAACGAGCTACCTATGCACTGTTAGGATCCCAGAAGTTTGCTGATCTGTTTTTAATGCAATAATTTTAAAATTAAAGGAAAAATACACAAGGGTATAGAGATTCTTGTATTTAGTGTGGTGAAACATCAGTCTCCTTGGTACCCAGTAATATGTGTCATATGTTGCACAGTTTGGTCTGTTTTTCCAAGTAACTGCTAAATATTTGGTTTTCATCAACATGATCATTTAAAGAAGCTGGCTAGATAGATCTAAATTTGAATTAAATATATTTGCTAATGCAGAGGTTTCCAAGCTGCATCATGTTTGTGATATATGCAAGTTGCTTAAGAGACCAAGCACCTCCTGTGCATGTACATGTTCAGGAGGTATTTGCTGCCATTGTGGCCTTTGTTCGTGGGAATGCAGAAGCAGAGTAAATTTGGGAACAAGAAGTTTATTTAGAAAAATGATAACATAAAATTTAATATTGCAGTTTATTATGTTTTCTTGAAACCCTTTTAACTCCTCAAAAGACTCCAACTCATTGAATAAGTTAAATGTCTAGAACATTCTTAATTGATGTAGTGTTTTTAAAGGTGATGTATGTAGAGTGTCAATTGATATCTTTAACAATTAATCCAAATATGACCCCCCTTACCTAATGCCCTTTCATTAGTTTGTACTTTACAAAATAAAGCAGTCTGCTACCTGTGGGGTTCAATTTAACATATCTGATAGTATGCCACCTTCAAAGGCAAGAGTGAAATGGGAGACTTCCCTTTATAGTAGCTCAAAAAGTGAATTAGACTTTTTTAATGTTTTTCACGTGGAAAAGACGTTTACTGAATTGGTACTTCACTAATCTCAGTTTGTCAGGAATGATGCACATAGGCATTTGAATCTGTTTGAAACTATCATTTAGGTTATTAAAATTAAGCCCAAGTTAAAAAAATTTCATGTTACGTATTTTCATGGAATCACCTCTCTTAAACATCAGTGGCATCACATGCTGCTGAATTACCTTATCTCTAAGTGATCTTAATTACTACAGATTTCCCACCTATGTTTGTCAGTACCTCCAGCAAAAACCTTTCATTAATTGACCCTTACTTGCACATGAGCTTACATATTCTCTGTGACATTCATCATCTAATTCTGTCTGTACATTTCTAATCATGTTCTGTTTTCCTGATGGTAAACTGAAGAAAAACATGCTGTAATTTTTAAACACTGTAAATTAGGATTGATAATAAAAAAACTACTTTATTGTAGCATAATGTATGGTCATGGTCAGAAGTTTATAGAAGTGAGTACTGCTTGTATTTGCCTTGAAGTATATCAGAATATTGGTTACAAATATGGACGGAGGGAACAATTTAATGGAAATTGCTTATATTATTCTTTTGGCTACTTTAATTCTCGTTTCCAGAATAGTTGATTGACCAGATCCATAGAAATAGAATGACTGACTACTACTTCAAAGTGATGACTTGAGGTCCAAAATATTAAAAGAGGTTTTTTTCTAAATTATTTATTCTTGTATTAATAAAGTGGCTGTCTTCAATTTGCATAGGTATTTCACTGAGAATAATTTTAAGCACTTGTCAAACTTGTAAGGGTTTCAAAAAATTTAAAGGGTCACACATTTTATTGTTAACAGAGGGTGTTGAGAGAGACTGTCAACACCCCATGCAGCATTAAGCTGTTGCCTTTGATGTGTAGGCAGTACCTTAGGTCTCACAGAACTGTACTATAAGTAAGTGTCCATATGTTCAACCCACTTTGATGTGTTCAAAGATCTTGGGCCAGCAGCATCCGTATGCTATATCACAACCACAGGAGGTAAAACATGCCATCTGGATTCCTGTTCCTTTTACTTACCTTGTATCATGGCTTATTCATGGAAGCAGAAAGCCTTTTTTTTCCTTCCTTGCTACTCAAAATTATTTGGTAGTTTACATGAAAAATCTGGTTTGACTCAGTCTTTAATGGATTTTATTTTGGATGTCTATTAACAATCTCTTAGAAGAGTTGACAGATGGGAGAGGGTTTTCTGAGTCCAAAATGTACTCCTATACTCATGTTATGACAGTAAAACAGTGTGTATTTCAAAAACCTTTATTACCTAAGAACTCCATCTCACAAAGTCTTTCACCTTTCATATCTGTTCCCAAGTAAGTTTACAGATCCAGGTTTGGATCCAAGCAGATCTTGAGTGGGGTCTTACTAGCTAATAAGACCTGGATGCTAATAAACTGAGCACTGTCTGTATTGCAGAAAACACTTGCTATGATTAAATCCAGAAATAAATCCTCAATTTTTGTGAGGGGAGGTGGTTCATAGGACAGATGCCTCACCAAAAAATGACTTGATTTCCTTGATTTTCTTGATAAGTTCTCACCTACTGTTCACAGGTAATCTGATGCTAAAGTACAATATAGACTAACATTTGTAGCCCTCACAGAAAGCTGCCTTATTCAGAAACCTGGCTCTGCTCTCCAAACCCAAACTGTATTTCAGAGGACTGTTTTTAACAAAGATCTTGCACAGATGAGGAACATCAACCCATGACATAGGAGCTCTGCTCATTCTGTGTGAACCAGGCTTGCCAGAGCTCTTTCCACCCCTTCCCCCCTTTATTGGCAATGCTGGAATCTGGCACCAGTGAAATGTGCATACAGATAAGGTATCTCAAAGATCTTCAATTTTGTGTAGCTCCTGTGCAGCAGTGTGTTTGTTGTTATGTTCAAACCCCCTGTCTGCAGAGCTTCTTGTCCTGCTTTCAAGGTCCCCTTTCCCCTATATCTTTCTTTATCAAAGTCGTGGTCAGAGGAGGAATTTTCCCTGGAGAAATAATGCTTATTTTTTTGGTGGGGTTTTATTTTCCTCCACTAACTTACTTGAAGATGTATTGACTGCAGTGGACTTGCTCCCATATAATTTCTGCCTTTGAGTGACCTGTTCATGTTCAGATCTCAGCATGACCGAACGTGTGTGTTGTG